GCGGGCAAACATGCCAACATGGTGGCTCTGCCTTCTCCGACCATCTCTCTTTGATCTTCATGGCGATGACCTCTCCTTGGAGCATCGCATAGGCTCCAACTTGACTAGGGCCAATGGAAGCTTATGTATGACCTTTAGAGGTTTCCCGCTAGACCCTAGATGTAAGTGGTTCATTCCATACTTTGACACTAGTATTCAGACCTTTATCCTCACAAACAACACTAATTGTGCAGGGATGAAATCAATATGAAGATGGTACTGGGGGCCAAACATTGATCCCAAGCATTCCAACAATCGAGAGAGACCCCCAAGGAAGCAAAACGGAAAGTTGCCAACCAGAGTGTGGCTGGAAAGTCCTTTCGGTGCAAGAATTAATCAAGAAAGCGGATACAGCGAGGAATTAGGAATTTTGAATGCTTAGTTAATAGAGAAAAATAAGGCCCTTTTTGTTGCCTCTACGTCTGGTTATAAGAGTCTCTTAGCTTTGCCTCCAAGGCAGGTGTAGACACCCCATTTTGACCGATCATAACACTTCGGGGCTTGCAAGCCTCCCGATGGTGAAACGGCAATTACTTCATCTTTAAAATGATTAAGGTTGTTTGGAGTTGCTCTATAAACTTGTTTTAGCCAAAAATTAACTTTTTACGAACTTTATCCCTAGACCTGTTTTTAGCCAAAAATCAACTTTCTAACCCCGAGAAAGAGTGGGAAGCCCAATTGTGCTTTGATCAAAGATATTTTCCAAAATTAGGGGCCGAATTTATTAAAAACATTGATCGGAAAGCAATTGGCCTTACTTGGGCCACAAGCAAGCCAAGGGCATGGAACCCTGCAATTGTGCATGCATAGATGGCACATATACCAAGGAGAGTGGTACACACGCACGTGAATTGTGCGTGCACACATCCAAGCGTGGCTAAGCCTGTTTTGGAAACTCAATCTTAGCGCATTTCTGGAGAGAGGCGATGAGGGGAAGCGATGGGAAGCCATAGAGTGCTCCAGAAGCTTCCCCTCTACTTATAAAAGGGACCCTTCCCCTTCCCTTTCAAAGGTTTAAGAATTTTGGGAGCTTTCAGTGAATTTTGAGAGCCAAACACTCCCCTTCTCCTCTCCCTTGGCCTTGACTCCGAAATTTCCCTACCCATAGCAACTCTAAAACTGTACAAACATTCTAAGGACTGAAGAACTTGAACCCTAACTTAAAACCTTTACTTGAGGGAGGCTTGCAAGTAAGAAACTTGACTTTCCTTGCTATTTCTCGACGTGCTCCAGTTTAAACAAACCAACAGGTAAAACTCTCATATTTTATTTATTTCAGTACATATTCTCTGTTTATTTTCAGTTTTCAAGCATGTTAGGATACTAGTCCATCATAGTATCATGTGTCTCTTTGTTTTATTCACTTCCTTATCTCTTCTTGCATGTTTTGTTTATTCTCTTTAGAACATGTTTTAGGGTTTATTTAATCATATAATAAGCATCCATAAGCCCAGTTTGAACATCATGTAGTTCTATGATATTTCCCGCTTTTTACTTATTATTTGCCCTTTTATGCATAAGCATCATTATAGTAGCCTCAAACTAAACGTAGGATCATTCTTGTATGTATTAGCTGCATATGAGGTCATACTTAATTTATGTAATGCATGAAAGACGCGTAAGTGGACATCCGGGTAAGTTTTTTCCCATCTCCGTAGCATGTATTTGCCATTTGCATGGTCCTTTTTAATAAATCAAGTTAAATACTTTTTGGTGCAAAATTGTATGTTTTGAGTGATTTTCTATGAATATTATTTATTTGGGTAAATTACAAATACACCTCCTGAAGTTTGCTTAAAATAGGAATTGTCCCATGTGATTTGGAAAATTACAAATACCTAACCTGTCAGAATTTTTTATTTAACAGAATTAATTTAAAAAGTGAAATTTCTAATTGTTTACCTATACAATAATAAAATTATCTCAATTATTAATTGAAATAAAATTTTAACATTATTAAAAATTGTTAATTAATTTAATGATTTATTAATAAAATGACATATTTGTTATGAAATTAAAAACCTTAGGGGACATAATGTAATTTCTAGAATCACAGGGGTAATTTGTAATTTAAGTAAATCTCAGGGAGTGTGTTTGTAATTTACCCTATTTATTTTAGTTTAGGACTATGGCCATAGAATGCTAAATCCACTCTCTTTTTTATTCAAAATCAATCTTCTATTAAAATGTGGCTTTATTCTTTTAAACTAAGATAGATGATATTCATAAATATTCAAGTCACATAGTCATAGGGTTAGTAAAGGTTTTTAGGTCTAATAATGAAGTTTGTTAATAATTAACCACTAAGATTATAAAATCGAAAGTTAGTAGAGACCAATCTTAAGATTGAGCGAACAGGGAAGCTATCATTTAATGAATCTTCCCTTTTGTACCTAAGCTCCCGAAATCTAAAAAAAATTCTGATTATGATAGATCAGTCTTTAACTTAGTTTTCATTGTTAACGGTTTCTTAATTTCCCTTTGAAAATTAAGCGGCTTAATTCCCCTTTAAAAATTAAGTGGCAACTCTCTGCTGTTAAAAACGAGCTGGTACAACAATTTGTGTGGGAAGGGGCCTTAGACTCGAAAAAGACACGGCGCCCACAACAAGCTTTGTTTACGTGGGATAAATTTTTCATGTGTCCGCTTTCCAGAACATGATAATTCATATGATATGATCTCCATTATTTTATATGGAATATTTGAGTTGATCCTCTTTCCTTTCACTATACCAGTGGCTGATTATATTTGACGTCTTCCAACGATCCAACTCTACATGACCTCTTGAGGGTCAAATACCTATTATCCTTATCTACCTGGTTAGACCATAATACATATTATGCTTATCTACCCGGTAAGACACGCTACATTGGGTCCAGTCCATATACACACATGGTCACTCCTACTTGGCAAAGCCCGTGCACTGTCACGCCCGGGCTATGTTTGCCCTCCTTGATGTGTCTTGCTATAGTTTCACAAAGTAGGGGCTTGGTTCTACCTTAACTTGCCCTGGACTGATCAAACACCTGGACCAACTCATGCTAAGTGGGAGAGCCTTCTAGTACAACTGGGCCTGGCTTGCACTAGCTAGGTCTAACCCACATTAAGCACCAAATAACTTTTCCAGAAAACAAGAGCCAACATTGCACAAAATTAGTGTTGAAGAACTTCCAGTTAAGATAAAGACAACGGTAGATTTTTTAATGGAAACTCAGACTATTAAAGAAAATGATAGTGGCTCCAATATTTAAATGTTTAGAAGCAACTTAAAGAACATTAAAATACTTGTACAAAGTTATAAGAGGACGACCAGCTTATAATTAAATAATTTTCTATTTGAAACAAACAAAAATGAGCCTTTAAGCAAGTCAACTACTCATTAGGAAGCAGAAAAGAAAAAGAAGAAATGCAACTAAGGTAACTAATCGCCTAAATATTATACATGCCATGCCACTTCCATCTGTATTATTTCAAATGCATCATTTGAATTTTATTGACGGTCAAATTTCAATTCAACCAATTTTTTTTTTTTCTTCTATAAATTAACCATCAAATTTCCACCAATTAACACTAGCAACAAATTAAAAAATATACAATTATATAATATGTTTCACATATGGGTGATAAAAGAACCAAACGGTTGGAGGTCGACTCTTATTTGGCTCATTAAAAACTCATTGGAAACTCATTGAGCTCAGTTTATTAGATAAATAATCCAATCTCAAACATATTTTGGAGCTCATTAAAAATTCTGAGTAAACTGATGGTTCGAGCTCGACTCTTATTTGGTTCATTAAAAACTCATTGAGCTTAGTTCGTTAAGTAAATAATCCAATCTCGAACATATTTTGGAGCTCATTAAAAATTTTGGATAAACTACCAATAGACCCTAATAGTTATACTTAATTCCGATCAATCAAATCCTATAGAAAATAAGTCATAGTAAAATCGTCGTTAAAAATAATTAATTAGGGGTTTTTTTCAAATTATCACTCAAAGTGGAAAATTAATAACATTTTTTTGTGAGGATTTTTTTAAATTGTCGTTAAAACTTATAATTAGCGACATTTTTTATGACAATTTTTAAATTATCGCTGAAAATTAATAATTAGTGACTTTTTTTTTATAGTGTTTGATGAAAAATATCATAGGACTTATTAGACAATAACCTATGAGAACTTAGGCCTTGTTTGGCAATATCACTTTTTTATCCTAAAAGTCAAAAAGTCATTAAAAAAATTAAAATGCCAACAACCTATACTAAAAAGTCAAAGATTCTTTTTTCTTTCTATTTTTTGCATATCTTTTCGTAAAAAATCAAAAAATATCACAAACATATTGAGTGTGTTTGGTTTGTGTTTGTAGAGTAGTTTTTGAGATAAAAAGTACGAAAACTTATTTGATTTGTCTTTTTTCAAAAATGATTTTGAAAAATTATTTTGGAGAGAGAGTTTTAAAAAAAAATGATTGATTTGATGTGTATGAGAGAAAGAGTGATTTTGAAAAGTAAGTAACCAAACAAAATTTTGAGATTTTTTTTGAAAAAATTTGTTTGGTTTGATTACTCTTAAAAATTTGTTTGTAGATAATTTTTTCCAAATTTTTTTTTTTTTGAAAAACAAACCAAACCTAGCCATTAATTTTTTTTACATCATATTTTAGCTAAAAAATCCAAAAAAATTACTAAAAAAAACATATTCCTAAACGAGGCCTTACACTCCACCCTAAAATTTTTAACCCAGGCTTAAACAATCACTTGCTCGTTCTATTCAGCCCAATAAACCTAAAACTATATTAAACTAGCTCAACAAAAACTAGTTTAAAATCTACTTCAAAATTTAACGAATTAAAGTTTTGCTTGAACAATTAACTGTTTGGTGAGTCGTTTATCACACAGATACTACTCAATCACAAATAAGCATTTATATAAAATATGCATGTGCAAAAATGTATTAATATACCAGACTTTGGTATCCCATCCAGCAATTCCACCGGCCTTTTCCATGGCTTTTCGCCATCTCAAAACCCTTTCAACTCCGAATTCAGATTCTAGGTTTCGAAGATCCTTTTCAAAAGGCTCAGTCTGACCCCGAACGTGGGAGGGATCGACCTTGTAAAACACCGGGAGTAACAAACTCCGGCACTCTATGATCTTAGCAAGCTCTTCAAGGCACCGACACGAAGAAGCATAGTTCTCCGATATGACGGCGATCGAAACGCCCGAGTCTTCGATTGCCGTCAAGCGGCTCGGAGAGATCTCATCGTCCCGATCCGACCTTTCCTCGTCAAAGAAGGCTCGAACGCCGTTGCGTACGAGCTCGGCGTAGAGGCGGCCAGTGAAGTTGTGACGTGTGTCCTCTCCTCTGAAGCTCAGAAAGACGTCCCACCTGAACCGAAACGACGGCGTCGACGAGTCGTCATACCCATCTGCGGCCATTCTTTTGGCCCCGGACACTACAGCGATAGCGGTAAGAAATGGATTCCCATTTCACCCAAAAGCCATTTCTCTCAAGGAGGACGGCACTGTTTGGGCCGTGGCTTCACCACCCGTCCCGTTTCAATAATTCGGATGGTTTGATTTTTAATTTTCAGAAAATATTTTTCAAAATTTTTATGCTTTTATTTTTTTATTTCTAGGCACACTTAAAATAAATATATTTAAAAATTATAATATTTTTGAAAAAATTTGTAAAAAATTCATTAAATATCAAAAATACAAAAATTTTATAAATTTTTCATATTTTTGTGTATTTGTTAATTTTTTAAAATATTTTACTATTTAGATACATCTAAGTAAAGTACATCTAAAAAATTAAAAAAAAAATTGCTTAAAATTTTAAAAATATTCATTAAAAATAAAAAATAAAAAAACACGAAAAATAAAAATAAAAAACTCAATTTTCAGAAAATTAAATTCAGAAAACTAAAAACCAAACATACTAAATACATAAGCTTGTTGAGTATTTTGACTATTTTATTTACACAAAAACAATAAATTTATCCAATAATTATAACTTACTCAATTTATTACATTTTTAATTAAAAAACATAATTTTTATAAAACAATATTTTTTTTTGTTAAAATATGATAAATTAAATAAGTTGTAATTATTGGATCGATTTAATTTTTTGTACAAATGAAATATACAAAGTGACTGATAAAATGAACGATTCAAATTATCGAAACAGAGTCATGAACCCTGGGGATCCTCCTTCTTTCAACTCAAATCCGTTTAGTTTAACTCACTTTTTGATAATTGATTTATTTATTTATTTATATTTTTTGTGTTTTTTATTTTTATTTTTAGTTAATTACTTTAATATTTTACATATTTTTTAAATTTTTAAATAAATTTGGGGTTTTTTTTTTTAGGGTCCCTAGTATTAAGATTTTATAGTATAAAGGATATTCAATATTTTCATAATGTCTAAGGTCTCTCAACATCGATTCAGAAAAAATTCGATTACAGAGATATTCTAAAATTTTCTCTAGACTTCCTAAAGAATTTCTCTGGATTCAAATTAGAGAAAATTGAAATTTCTTTGAGTTCAAACCAAAGAAATCCAGAGAAAATTGAACTTTCTCTAGCTTTGTTTACAGAGAATCGAAATTTCTCTAGCTCTGTTCACAGAGAATTTCTCTGGCTTTATTCACAAATTTCTCTGTGTTTGTTCACAGTTTTAAACCAGAAAAAAATGTTTTAACCAAACCAGAGAAAATTTAGCACAATGATTTTAAACCAGAGAAATTGTTTTAACCAAACCAGAGAAAAAATTCTCTATGTTTGTTCATAATTTTAAACCAGAGAAAATTGAGTATAATGACGGTGATGCTGTGTAATTGAATATAATTGATTTCCATATTATCAGAGTGGGTACTCCCTGCTGAGGAGGAAGATTAGAAGTCTATACTAGAAGGGCTCAGCCACGACATTTCGCTAATGGGGTGGCCAATGGCGGCAGAGCAGTTTTTCAGTGCCAAGTTCTTGGTTGAGAAGATTGAGGTTTGTGTAGAGGTGGCAAGGAGGTTTAATGTTAAGGTTGAGCATTAGGATATAGCAGAGAAGATAGAGTTTGTTATGGGTTAGAGTGAGCAAGGGAATGAATTAAGAAAGAAAGCTGGTGAGATCAAGGAGATAATTGAAGATGCCATTAGAGATCAAAATGGTTTCAATTGGTCTTCTGTCAAAACTATGGATGAGTTTCTTAATGCTGCCTTGTTGATGGAGGAGAAGACAAAAAACGAAGTTTACACACATCAATATTGACCAACTGAGATGGTACGGTGATGCTATTAAGCGTTATAATTTGGGAAGTCATATCAATATTGATTATGATTTGAAGACTAGTTAGTTTAAAAGGTTTTTTTTTGTAGCATTCGCTACGTACATCAATGGCTTCAAATATTGTCGCCATTTGCTTTTTCTTGATGGAACATTTCTAAAAGGGAGATACAAAGAGCAGTTAGTTATAGCAACAGTTAAATATGGTAACCAAGGTTTGTTTAGCTTTTTGATGTGAAGTTTTACATTTGTTTACTTTTTGTGTGTCAGTTATGACTGTTAACATTGGTTTTGTTTTTAGCATTGTTTCCAGTAGCCTTTGCAATTGTTGATTCGGAGAGTGAATCGAATTGGTCATGGTTTCTATATGAACTGTCAAAAGTAATTGCTGGTGATCGATGCATGGTGTTTGTATCTGATCGTAACCTATGGCTTTTGGAAGCAATGCCAAAGGCATTCCCATCAGCATATCATGGATGGTGTTTACAACACCTAAAGAATAATTTTAGGGACAAGTTGAAGGGTAAGGAGAATGGTTTCAAAGAACACTTAATAAGGAAGTTGGGTGATTGTGCCTATGAATCTACTATGACGGGTTTTCATGCATTATTAGAAGAGTTGAAGAGTGAGGGGAAGTAACAAGCATGTAATTTCTTGTTAGGGTTGGAACTTGAACATTGGGCAAATGCTTACTTTAGGTACAGTATGTATAATTGTGTGTTTGATGGAATATAATGATGGTTATATGTACATTGTTTATATTTTTGTGTTGTTATGACGATGTAAAATGTCACATATGGTATTAACATGTGACAATTTTTGCTGTCATGTGTTAGGGAACAACGATATGATGAGATGATATCCAATGCTGCTGAATCATTCAACAATTGGATAAAAGAAACACAAAATCTTCCTATAACAAAATTGGTTGATACTATCCAAAATCAAATAATGTGTCAAATGTCAAGGCAAAGAGAGATTGCAAACAAGTGGAATGAAATTATTTGCCCTACCTTTGAGACTAACCTCCATATTTTATTCAATACTAGTACGTCATGGAATGTGAGTAAAGCAAATGATGATGTGTTCGAGGCGCATTCGTTTCCATCAGTTACAATTGATATTGAACGCCATGTTTGTTTTTGATACTAGTGGTAAGTAAATGGATTTCGTTGCAAACATGTTGTTTTGGTTATCTAAAGGAGTGCATATAATCTTAATGATTGTGTAGAAAAATATTTTCATGTATAGAATTATCGGGAAGTATATGCAGTGGCTATTTTCCCAATACTATCTGTGGAGAAACTAACTTTTTCCTCTAGCGATTTCATCATATTACCTCCAATTGTAAAACGGCCAGCTAGTAGGTCGAGAAAGAGTAGAATACCATCTCGAGGGAAAAAAATAAGTCAAATCAGGTGTGGCAGATGTGGAAAGATGGGCAGGCACAATAGGAAGTCGTGTAAAGAGCCAATACAGAGTTATATTGGCTGATGTGTTGGAGAACATTGTGAATTTCACATTAAATTTTGAACATTTACAATGTTTTTTTTTTTAAAGATAAATAAGATACCATTGTGAATGTTACATACATTTGCATTGGATACACATTTTATTAGTTGATGCGTTGGTGTACTTGTTTTGTATTTCGATACAATTTTTCAATAAGAAGGGATTCATTAATTCTATGCAATTTGTCATTTTGTAGGGTTTTTTTTTTTTTTCATTTTGTTTATTTATGAAATAGTTTTTTTTCTTTTTTAGTTTTAGCAAAATAAAATATTATCTTGTTACATATATACAAAATATATGTTAATGGGTGGAATATGATATATGTTTTTGAACAGATTTGAGGTGTGGTAGATGTAAAGAGATAGGCAAGCACAATTAAAGTTGTGTAAAGATCAAATATAATGTTTGTGGGAGCCGAATATATTGAAGAGTCGGAAGGTGCGTATCCCAGAAATTAGATATTATTCGGCTCCATATTGCGTGACTAGAGTGCCGAATATGTCAGGAAGGCCAAATAGGCGGAGATCAGTAGCTCCGAATAAATAAAAGGGGAATGGGATAAAAGTAGGCTCAGGCCCCGAGACCCAGAAAGCAAGTATAAATACAAGAACCACAGATTTAGAAAGGTATGTAAGAATCACTTCACTTAACTTAGTAAACAAGCTATCCTGAGTGTCTGAACTGACTTGTCCGTCGGAGTGCTAATTCCGGCACCCCCGACCGGAGTGTTTGTATCTTTTCAGGTGACTAGCTGAGGATCACTAGCGTCTCCCAAGATCTGAAGAGTATTTCCAAACCATTTCTCCACAATTGGCGCCGTCTGTGGGAAAACTCAAATACATCCATGGCAGGCGTGACTGAAGATCCTCCGATAGCCACTGACAAGACCACACAGAGAGATGACCTCACTCCAGCAAACTCGCTTGGATCAAAAACCATCGCAGCAAGACTTGCCTTGGACTTCTACTCATCTTCAAACCTAACGCAAAAGACAATACAAGCGACCATGGCACAAGCTAGGCAAACCAAACAGAGGTTGGACAACATCATCGCTGAAAACGAACACCTTCGTCGCGATCTGGCCTTGGAAATAGCAAAATCCAAACAACCAGTGCGCCAGGCTTCTGAGCGACCCCCGAGGGCAGATGATCGACGATCTTGAGCCCGACAGCAAGAAACTGACGGCCGCTATGCCTCAACAGATCATCTTGAGGAGTTGGCAAAGGACGAACGTCTCCAACAATGTGTCCGGAGGAGTGCGATCAAAACACCTGCCCTTCCGAAGGATGCATTTCCACTTGACACCGTCCACATGATATACAGCCTGCCCGCAGCCCCGGCCGTGCATGCGATCCAATCACATCCATGTCCCCAACAGCAACTTACGCCCGCAAAGCGGCTCCGAGAAACGCCAAGTATCACCTTTGACGGCTCTGATTTGATCGGCTTAACACTCCCTCACATCGATCCATTTGTTGTTGAGCTACGCGTAAACCGTTTCACCGTCGAACGCGTTCTTATTGACCAAGGCAGTACTTCGGAGGTTATGTATTACAAAACCTTCATCAAACTAGGATTCAACGAGTCAGACCTGACTCTGGCTCCTTATCTACTATTCGGCTTCAATGCCAATCTAGAATACCCATTGGGGAAGATCAGCTTACCCGTTCGAGCAGGTTCTAGAATGGTGGATGTGGAATTCTTGGTCGTCAGGCTGCCATCGCCGTACAATCTCATCATGGGGCGATCGTGGTTGCATACCTTGCAGGCCGTCTGAAG